TCCCTTCCAAAAAAAAAAAATGGCAGCAAGTATTACAGAAGGTATGCAGCTCAGGGCCGAAAAGCTTGGCACAACTGCGTATGGCATTTAGGAGTATTCAAAAAACAAACTTAATAACATGAGATGCAAACAACGACTACGTAACTCGTCTTATTTACAAAGCAGTGTATTAGTCCGATGCCCCCAAAACGTTCTCATTACCTTTAATAAATCCCATCGTTGGATAAAATTATTTTTTTTAAAGAAATTGGCCAACGCACGGGCTGCCCGAGCGAAGATGCGTTTTTCGCACAGCTCCCCGCAGATTTTTGTCGCTAACAGCACTGGTTTTCCGGCAGATGCTTCTAGCTAAAAGAATTTCAGACTAGCCGCCATGACCGTCAACAAACATCCTTTTAAAAATACCAGTCTTCTAGTTCCTCAGGTTCCCGAGTTAACTTAACCGAAAAAAAAAATTTCATGGGCCCGTACGTGAGTACCACCCTTACCCTGAGGCTGGGTTCGAGCTCACTAATACTTACTTGGACGGGGGATATCCTCTTACGATTTCAGTCTTCCAGCTTCTCAGATCCCCGAGTTATCAACTTATCCATAAAAGACTTTCACGGGCCCGTACATGGGTATCACGCGGGAAAGACCGCCCATTTTGGGGGTGTGGGGGTCCGTACATGCATGTAGATTAAGTTCCCAAAGGTTCAGCCTTGTAGCTTTCGTAGGTTTCGACATGAAAAATCGGCACGGACGAACAAACAGACATACACACACACACACACACGCACACGCACATACACGCACACACACATACGCACACACACACACACGCACACACACACAAACACACACAGACAACCCCTCGTCAATATCATTTTCTGCATTGCACAGCTGCAAAAAACGCGTAAAAAGTTCGAATATGACAGAATTTAAGTCCTTTTTCTTCAAATTTTATACATTTTTACCATTTTTTACGTTTTCCACTTCAGCGCCAAATTTTTGAAGCCAGAAAAATATCGAAAATTTACGGATTCGAAATCTAATTTTACGGTTTCCCAACAAAGAACATC